CAACTGTATCAAGAGCATCAAAAGCAAAAAAAAATGTATAGCAAAAAAAATGAAGCGTTTTTTGTTTTTATTTCTGAAAAGTCTAGCCGTCACGTGTTTTTTTGGCTTTTTAAGTGAAAATGCCTACGGATAAAATTTTCTTTTTTCAGCACAATACATAACAATTTTCAAAACTTGTTTTAGATGATTTTAAAGACGTTGCTTCGATGTTTTATGTTACCAATGTGATCAGTTCACATGTTTAAAAGGTCACAATTCGAACATGCCACATATCAACATTCACTCAAACAAAATATCTTCATAATTGTTCACCGCGATTTCATATCTAGAACTGACAAACACCATATTTCGCAAGAATTCAATGAACTACGTGAGTTCAATTGAATCTAACATCTTCCTTAGGAAAATTCTACTTGGTAGCATCGAAATATCTTCAATTGTGGACTTTGATGCTAGTTTGACACAGCCGACACGAAACTTAGGCCAGTCAGAAAACGATCCAACCAAATGTCTTTTCGAGATAAAATACGACATACAATAATGTGATTGACCAAAAATTCGAAACTTGATTCAGGTTGAAAGCAGGCCTTTGAATGCAAATACAAGAGAAAAGAGAATGAATGAAAGTTTTGATGTTGGACTAAACTCACAATGACCTTGTGTTTCCTGATGTTTGTTCAATATACACAGTATTCGTTTGTATACGTCACAAAATTAGTGCAAAGTTCATCACAAAGATTCGATTCAAGGCACCGAGATAAGTTTTTCATTCATATCTTACCCTTAAATGAAAAGCCGTCTAAAATTTCATTGCACTCAGGAAGCAGGAGCGAATTCCATAGTTCCGAAAAAGTGCCAATGAAATCAAGTAAAACAGAAAAAATGACTGTTTTTGAAACTAACTTTCAAAATTCGAAGAAAAAATATAATGCTGCAGCTCCCTAAATTTCATTGCTCCCTAAATTTCGCAGAGGTTCCCCACATTCCAGGCTGAATTCATTTTGTTGAGTGACGCTTTTTTAGCGACTAAAGGTCGTTTTTTTAGTCTAGAACTTTCATGTGCACCCGAAATTGCTGTGGCAGACTTGAAGCTAGAGGTCAAGTGAGCACTCTTCCTAACACAATGTCATTGCCATGGCAGGGGATCGATTACACGATCTAACACTCAAGAATTGAACGCCCTGCCAGTATGCTAAGCGTCTTCGAAAAATATTTTATTATTAACAATTTCTTAGTAAAACTAGCCCAATTTGAGAAAATTAGATCAACCGGTAATTTTTATATTCCGCCGAGAAACTAAACATTGAAACCCGAAGTCGATCAGGTTTTCCAACCAGTTCTGCTTTCTTTATTTTATATTATGAGTAGCAAAAAATATAGTTAATGCCAAATTGTTTGGAATATCCTTTTTCGATCAACGAAACTTGAACCTAATTAATTAACCTAAAATTATTATTTGCGACGTCAAAATTAATCTTTTGACGTCGCAAGTCATTCAGAACAAAAACAAATCACGTGAAAAATTTAAATTATCTAAAACGCACTTTTTCGGCCGATTAAATTGCTCAAAGTCACAAATATTAGGAAACCATTACCGAGCATTAGAAAAAGAGTATGAAATATAAAATGCTTCTACTGGGTCAAACATAATATAGCAGGACTCGAAAAATAGTAATACACCAAAAAAAAATTACTTTAGCCAAAATACTATTGAGAAGATTCAGTAATCGTAAAACAAACTACTGATTTTTTGAAATAAAATAATTAACATGCTCCTATCATATTTCACTCCAAAGTAAAATTTTAGACCACAACTTCCATTTTGATTCCGCTAAAAATTTGTTAAACAAGAAAAAACTATTAGCGTTTTTAATAGAAAATAAAGCGAAAAATTTAATCAAATTTTTTCTGAAAACAGCACGAGTGAAATGAATGAAACTCAATTTAACTTAAAATTTGCATTTGAAAGACATTGTATGACGTAACCGCGAAAACCAACTGGGTAATTGACACTATTTTCACGCAGTTAATTTGGCAGAAAACTTAATATTTTTTGAACAAGTCATTTATTTAGAAAGTAGTTTTTTAAAAACTTTTTAAAAACTCAACTATTTTACACAATTTTCAATAAAATATTATGCAAACTGCATTTTTGTCTTGTTTTTATTATTCAAACCTATCAAAAACTTTGTACAAATTAGGGTCTGCTTACTAATTCTTGCGAGCTCAAAGTCAACGGAGAGTTCAACAGAGATCATATGTATGCGTCTGATTGCGAAAACCCTATGAATGATGGCCCCTGATTCATTCAACAACAACAACAAAAAAATAGACTTCAATTCCTTTTATAAAAGGTTACAAATACCACTATAACAGAGGATGTTTACAAATAAGTAATTTCAGATCACATAAATCAGGCAAGAGCTAGAAACCAAGTACAGGATCTTGAAAAACAGAATTTGGAAACTGCCATGTTGACAAAGAAGTTTGTGATAGTTTTTTTGAAATGTTTGGGCTTGGCAAAATGTCGATTTTTTGCTTGATAAGAAGGTTCGGCATTCGGACAACACGAATAAAGAATGAACTATCCGTGCGTTTTTTTGAGGTTTTTGACGGACCAGAACGGTAATTCATACGGAATTTTAGCTTGCTGCCCCAATTCAATTTGGAACGATTTTGTAGAGCGAAATAGTTCGCGACGCATAGAAAATTGCGTTTCGCTTTCAGCGTCTTAAATAAAATCTTCACGGCGCGCATAAATTAATTCAGAGCACAGACAAATTAGCAATTTTTTTACTTTTGAATCCAGAGAGCTAACATCTTCAATGAAGTTGAAACAATTTTTGATAAAAAATATTATTATGATCGCCGAAAAATGACTGAATAAAAAACCACCCCAAGTATAGATGTTCCGCTTTTTTCAAAGCTCAGAAAAATAACTCGTTTCATGACCCTAGCAATTTTAATATTAATATTTTATCAGATAAGCTCATAAAATATCAAACGTCGAAACCTTTTAAAAAGAAATCGAAACATTTTTCAAGTAAATTGAGTTACTGCTCTTGAAAATTACTGCTTCTTCTATTTTCTGAACGCATGCCTTTTTATCACAAACTGCCACTTTGAACAGTAGGCGCAGAAAATATGAAAAAGGGCACAAAAAACAACTCAATGGAAGGTGCTAGATGGACTCCGCGTGTGTTAGAATCAACTGTCTTTTACATTTCTGAGCCGTAGCAGATTTCGGAGGGTCGACTTTTCGACCATGAATAAATCCCCTTTAGGCGGTCAAACGCAGGGTGGGGGGTTTAAAAAGTTTTTTATCCAATTATTAAAAAAAAACATGTTTTAAACGTAAAAAACAAGTTTTTTCTCAAAAAGTCCTACTGCTACCTTTTTCTGCTACTTTCTTTAAATTTACTTTTGAGCAAAACATGAGATATTGTTAAACAATCAATTCAACAATTTAATTGTTTACGCAAAAAAAAACTAATTTTTCATGCTTTTTTTCATCCAGTTGGTTTTGCAAGGATCCGTAGGTCATCCCAAGAGTCGAAAACTGTCGCTATAAGCCACAAAACTGGAAAAACTTTGTTATGTGTGTCATTTTGTTTAGAACATGTTTTACTCTGTTTTGAACAGTTTTTTGGCGGTCAAAGGGTCTACCCTTTTAAATCTACTACTGGTCAGAAATGTAAGAGACAATTAGTTTTAACACAAGAGACGTCTGTGTTTGATTTTGAAACAATTTTTACAATTTATCTGGCACCTTCCATTGCTGAAATTGTGCGCTTATTCATAAAAGGGGACCCTTTGGTACTATTTGACATCCCTTTTTGGCTGACCGAAGCATAGTGCGGTATTTGTGATTCAAATTAGTATGGAATTCCTACCGTTAGCAATAGAACACCAAATTTTTCTAAAGAAGCCTCGTTATTCTAGTATTGAGGGGGAGGTCAACTTGATCAACCTATAAAATTTAAAATTTTTTGGAAATTCTATCTCTCAAGAAACACTAAGATCCGCGCGTGCTTCTGACTCAACGAACTCTTGAGATTCGCTTGTGTTGCGAACAATCCTGTCTTTACGTATTCTCATAATAATTTCACTTCACCCAACAAGTTAGAAGCATCAGAAAAAAGTTGGTCTTCGAGTTCCTCTCCGCAACAAGCCCCCGAAGATCGTGAAAGATTGGGCTCGTCGCTAGCCAAATCAAGCAAGGAACTAAACGCCTTCTTTCTGAGCCAAAAGGCTGCTATTTTAGATATTCCATTAGTTTCAGGGACATTTCAAAAGATAAAATCTAGTGCAACTACGGCACGGCACTGAATGTAATGACATTAACATCACAATCTTCATTATCTTTATAACTTTATTATTACCATCATCACAGTATCGGAATCTTCATGAACTCCATCACGAAGAAATTATAAGGGAAAAATGTTTTACGACGGAGCTGTCATGATTCTGGCCAGCCATCGTGATTTCATGACATATGATTTTAGGTTAAGTGCTTTCAGTATGGCTAACTTTTTGGATTTTCTTTGCAGAATCGTAAATTTACCGTAAATTTTTAAACTGAAGGTGGGATATAGCTTTCTTGCCATGGAAACAAATTATGAGGGTTTATTTAGGCGTTTCAGGCAGGAAATCCTATCATAGAGACAATCAGGAGTCAAATTGGCTGTTATATAATCTATTCATACACGAAATCGACCCCCCCCCCCTTCCCCCAACTGAGCGATTAGTCAGGCATATAAATTCTTGGTACATATGGAAATCTTTGTTTTGGCCATTCGTCATAAAAAGAAATGTCAAAAATAACCTCCGAAAACCCATAACCGTATTCAACTCAGCAATTTCAACAATAGGTACGATGAGGACTGCACAAAAGTTGCATTAGTTAATGCAGAAATAGATAAAGTGATATCAGCGAAAGATAAGGAAGCACTGAAAATAACTAATTCACTATAATAAATGCGGTGTTGTAGTAAACTGACCTTTGGGTTGGGGGCGCTACTTGGGCTGATTACTGACATCCGAAGGGGGGAGGATAACATAGCGTCCCAAGGCGGAGGAGCGAGGGGTCGGGGTGACGTGGTTGAATCGTCTTCGTTGAGCCGCGTCGAATGGAATCACGTGACCAACACTCAGGGCTATAGGAGGTCAGGGGTCAGACAACACTGCTAGTCTTTCTAAGGGTTCGTCTGGGCGTTTTTTTTACTTTTCGGGGCGCAAAATCAAGTAACTGAAAAGTCCAGAAGGTAAAAGCTTGACTTCATTTGAAATTAAAATAATATTGCGATACCATATATTGAATTGACGACTGGCGAGAAAATCTTTATCAAAATATCCGAAAAGAAATCGTTGTAACCAACAGCTGCTAAGGAGGAAGGAGTATAAATTGAGGCCAACGAATCAGTCAAGAATCGGTAAGAAAGTTTTGAAATTCATGTCGAGATTTGCATGACGATGTGAATCGACTGAAACAGAGAAAAAGATAATAGAACAGTGAACTTTAGATTAGTCTGCGGTTTAGGTTATCCTAGCCTCAAACTATGTCGGTCATAATTATTGCCGAAAATGTCATAACTACAAAATGAGTTGCTCTTTGTTATTACCAATGATTAAATGGCCATTTTAAGACAAAAAACAGTCGATTAAACTGACTTTTTCAGTAGCTTTTTCTGATTTGCAAAAACACGTCATAAACTGAACAATTGTACATAAGATTCGAGTCTGAACTAAGCGAAAATCGCGAGAATATTTTGCGTTGTGTGTGCATGTATTTTCAATTTTAGCTCGTCTCAGATAGAAAGAGAGAAAGAAGTAGAGAACGCTTTCTTTGTACAGTTTAGTTAGTAGAGCAAATGCCTGCGAAGCGAATGCGTAAATGAAATGGTTGAATTCTAAACTGTATGTTATGTAGTAACAAAACAAGCTAGCAAGCAGAAATAGCAAAGGATATAAAATATCTTGCTAGCTATTATTATTATTATGTTAAGCTCTCTTGCTGAGAGAGGAGCTCTACTAAATGCAAAATTTATACATGGAGCAATAGCTATAAAATAAAATATTGCAGGGAAACAGAGAGAGAGAGAGCACATGAATTTGTCAATGAACGGCCTCCTTTGCTGCAGTATTTTACATTTTTCTTATTCCCAGTTCCATGTGTTTTCAATTCCAATTCCCTTTTCGGTTTTACAACAACGCAGCAATAATAAAATCCCCCCAATCCCGCTGTGTGTGTGGTGGTCCGTGGTCCCCCAAAATGTCAAGCTACAATAGTTGGTTGGTCTGTGCTAGCTACTTATTTCCTGCTGCAATTTCCAATTCAAATTTCAGCTATTTTTGATTTTCATGCATTTTCCATTTTATTTTCAGGTAAATTTGGCTTGGCGTAATAACTTACTCGCGACGACATCAAGCGGTCAAAATGCGCATAGTTTAATTCGTTGTCTGAATTTCCTGCAATCACGTCCGAGAGTTCACGCCGATGTTTTATTTGCGTAGCCGAGAATGGGTGCCGGACATCAAGCCGACGGGACTTCAAGCCGAATCGTAAAATTAGGGACTTCAAGCCGAAAATTTTCTCATTAAGTCATGAAATAAGGTTAATTTGAAACTTTTTTGAAGAATTTCTCAATTTCATGATCTTTATTCGGTAATTATAAGCGTTATTTAATTTTCGGCCTGAAGTCCCTTCGGCTTGCAGTCCCGTCGGCCTGTTGTCCTAGACCCTGGGTGCCGGACATCAAGCCGACGGGACTTCAAGCCGAATCGTAAAATTAGGGACTTCAAGCCGAAAATTTTCACATTAAGTCATGAAATAAGGTTAATTTGAAACTTTTTTGAAGAATTTCTCAATTTCATGATCTTTATTCGGTAATTATAAGCGTTTTTATAAGATTTAAACCTCCAAATGATGTTAAGGAAAGTTGAAAAATAAAACACAGTTGAAGGTAATTTTCTTGTTTATAATTTATGCATTTCAAAAAAACGGCTGATATTATTAACTAATGCCAATCCTAAGTAATTCATTGTCATAAATGACGCTTATTATGCAGCAAACTAGCCTACGATTTTGACAAGCAACGTTTTACAGATGACAAAATAATGATTTGAGGTGCTTGTAAGGTTTAATTTTCGGCCTGAAGTCCCTTCGGCTTGAAGTCCCGTCGGCCTGTTGTCCTAGACCCGCCGAGAATAAGCAATTAGTGTTTTACGACGAGAGGATAAAACGTGTAGAGTAGAGAAAATGCGATTCATTTTCTATAAATAGTAACAATTTGTAAGCGTGGCAACTTACGTAACTATATCGTCTCAAACACTCGTTCCTGATTGGTTAACGAGGGAAATACATGCACATAGTTGCGTAACTCCAATTTAATTCTCTCTTTGACGGCTTCATTTCATTCAAGCAAATAGTATTATTTTACGTGCTACGTGCACTCAAAAGGCCAAAATTACATTTACATTTTACATGTGAAATGGTCACGCGATTTAATGGGACAGCAGCGAAATCGTTGCATCTACTACAATCCAACCTTTAAAATACTTAGGACCAAGCTAACACTCTCTTCACCAACCGAATCGATTGAGGGAGAGAAATAAAGTTTTTCAGAGTGCAACAAAAGTTGCGATGCATTTATTGAAAATGTATTAAGGCATAGCCAACAGAAACAGACGCCATTTACAGGGGATATTTCACCTCGTTCATTAACACAAAACGAGTCAGCTTGTATAAAGGGGAATCTCTCATGTGCGAAGGACCGTAATGTGCCCCCTTTTTTGTTTCGACTGTCCTCTAACTAGCCGCGTCGAGGTCCGCGGCTAACTTTCAAATTCGCACCGAAGTTAATTCCTTGGCCGAAGTTTCATAGTCTAAGCAAGGTTAAAGTCGCAGACAGAAACTGGAAACATCGAGTTTCGTTCGCTATGGTTTGAATGTCTAGTACCGTTCTAGTTCCGTTCATTTCTAGTTCCGTTCTGCAGAAAATTTCCTCAATAAACCTACTAAAAATTGTCATTGCTGAAATTTTTTGCCCCATTCGTTTCAATCGTTACAATCGCACCTATTCCAAGATAATTTCGGCAATACTGCCATACGCATGTTTTTTTTCAACCATTGATATAATCAAAACTAACGCAAGAATAGCCGGTTGTTGGGACCAAGTTAACATCCTCCCCCTCCCCCCCCCCCCCTAAGGCCGTTTGGGGGAAGGATTGTTGACTTGGTTCTCAGCCAATCAGAATCCAGCATTTTACATGCAGCGCTTAGCAAATTTGACGCGAATTAAAAAATGGGGTGGAAGATCTTAACTTGGACTTATCTTGGGGGGATGGGGGGGGGGGGGGGGGTTGGGGTGGGAGGATGTTAACTTGATCCGGTTGTTGTGCAAGTAGCACAGAATGTTCCGACCATATTCATTAAAAAAATGTAAATATGTTATTTTTTTTACTTTTCTTCAATTAGTGTGCTTTTTAGTAGGTAGTTATTCGATAACTATACGAAAGCGTAGAAAATTAGTAAATTAGATATGACTGACAACATTTGTCACCAAAAAACAATAATAAACAAAAAGTTTAAAAAAAGTTTTCTAAATTTTTGCACAGTTATAAATTATTTTTAAATTTTTTTTTCGCCAAACAAGCGCAATAAAACATCCAAAACTAGTTTTTTTTTTTCATTTTAAAAACAAGTTTTTTATCCTAAATTTCTTTAAAAAACAATAAAAATCCATATAACAAACGTTACTCGATTGCGTTACTAATCGAAATTGACGAAATCTCAAATTTTCGGACCAGTTTTTCTCGACTCGGGGACTAATTTTTGAATTTTTTTGAAATGTCATTTGAATACCGACTGAAAGAATCTTAAAATGATTTATCACTCGGCCCATTCCTATGTTTATCTGTGGTATCTAATATTGCTTGGAAAACAAAAAAAGAAAGAAAAACTAAAACAAACCCGAATACAAAGTTCCTCCCCATTTTTATTTGTCAAAAAAAACAACAAATGTTTTCGTCAAATCAGTCTGAGCTACATTGGCTTTGGTCGCCGCTACGGTCGCAGTTAAATTATTTTTTAAACGCTGGTCTGTGGCGCATGTCTTTTTCGCGCTGGTCTGTTTTTCTTGAAAGCACAACATCAGAGGGGCTTAAATTTGGTGGAGGGATATAATGGTAAAAAGACGTTTGTGTATAGTGCTGTTTGTTACTGTGAAGCGATACTTTGTAACAGATCACAATTTATAAAGGGCGACAATTCGTAAAAAGCAACGATTTGTAACAATAGTTTAAGCGGGGAACACCGATTCACACTTAGTGTTCCTCTCGTGCCGGATGTCAGCGCAGCGGAACGAAAAGGAGCAAACGTGTTCTACTTGCATATGCCTTGGAACCAATTGCTGCTTGTTATGAACTGTCACCTGTTACGAATTGCCGTCTTGCCGTTTTTCCAGGCAATGCCGAATTTTTAACTGAAATTTTAATGCGATTTTTGAACAGTCTACGAAATTGGACGCTTTGAGCTCAAAATCTAAGCATGGTTTACCTTGCGACAAAATTTCGTGAATTTATGGAACTTTGAATAGTCACATGATCTCAATTAAAGTCCGATAAGTGATATGGAGGTGCCACGCAAAACCAATTACAAATAAATTAGAAGCAAATGCAGCGCTGATTCATGTATTAGGTCAAATAAAACTGAAAATTAGTTATTTCACTAAGGAATCTCAATGACAAAAAATTCTGATGATAAACTAATTTTGCTTTTAAAAAAATTCAAGTACAATCAGGCTTTAGAAAACTAGGAAAGTAGCCTTTTTACACAGCCTTTATTATACTTCTAGGTTAACTAGTAATAAAAAAGCCACAAATACAGATTTTGAACTAAAAGAAGCAGTTCTACTTAAATTTCTCAACTAAAAGGAAACCGTTTTCTTTTCACCCCTGCCTTGATTTCACGAAGTGATTAGAATCTATGCATAAAAGATGAGCAATTACTCCTCTGAGTCCGTCAACAGAACCTTCAGTCTTCAGTGATTAGAAAAGCCATTAAAAAGATATTACCAAGCATGCAATTAATTCCCCTCGCTAGTTCAGACTACGTACCAACAAAAAAGTGAGCAAATGACTTTTCAGCCGCAGGTGTATAATGCAAATCACAAAAGACTTGAATGTAATATTTGCCAATGCTATCTTGAAAAGATTTAATCAACTTGAATACAAATTAAAGCTAGTTTACTTTTAGAAAATCTTTTGTATTAAAAAATGCGTGCACTATGATTGAAAAATCTGAACAGATTATTATGTCATTAAAATAAGTGATTTCAGTCTAAAATTTTCCAGGTCAAACCATAATAAATTCCAACTGTATCAAGAGCATCAAAAGCAAAACAAATGTATAGCAAAAAATATAGCGTTTTTTGTTTTTATTTCTGAAAAAGTCTAACCGTCACGTGTTTTTTTGGCTTTTTAAGTGCAAATGCCTACGGATAAAATTATCTTTTTTCAGCACAATACAGAACAATTTTCAAAACTTGTTTTACATGATTTTAAGGACGTTGCTTCGATGTTTTATGTTCCCAATGTGATCAGTTCGCATGTTTTAAAGGTCACAATTCGAACATGCCACAAATCAACATTCACTCAAACAAAATATCTTCATAATTGTTCACCGCGATTTCATATCTAGAACTGACAAACACCATATTTCGCAAGAATTCAATGAACTACGTGAGTTCAATTCAATCTAACATCTTCCTTAGGAAAATTCTACTTGGTAGCATCGAAATATCTTCAATTGTGGACTTTGATGCTAGTTTGACACAGCCGACATAAAACTTAGGCCAGTCAGAAAACGATCCATCCAAATGTCTTTTCGAGATAAAATAATGTGATTGACCAAAAACTCGAAACTTGATTCAGGTTGAAAGCAGGCCTTTGAATGTAAATACAAGAGAAAAGAGAATGAATGAAAGTTTTGATGTTGGACTAAACTCACAATGACCTTGTGTTTCCTGATGTTTGTTCAATATACACAGTATTCGTTTGTATACGTCACAAAAGTAGTGCAAAGTTCATCACAAAGATTCGATTCAAGGCACCGAGATAAGTTTTTCATTCATATCTTACCCTTAAATGAAAAGC